AGCTCCTGGCTGAAATGAATGGGTGGACAGAGGAGCAGAAAGCAGTATATCTTGCAACAAGCTTGAAGGGACAACCACTAGAAATACCTGGACTGTTGTCAGCAGACGACAGACACAACTGTAGAGCACTGGTAGCGGCTCTAGAACTCAGGCACGGAACCCAAAATCAGTCAGAAGTCTACAGGGCTAGGTTTAGGACGAGAGTCCATGCTAAAGGGGAGAGCCGCAAGAGCTGGCACAAGACTTGGAAAGTATGGCACACAAGGCCTATCCAACTGCACCACCCGATCTTCTCAAGTTGTTGCTGAGAGATCAGTTTGTAGATGCCTTGTACAGTCCACAACTAAATATACAAGTGAAGCAAGCACACCCCTCTACTATGCAGGATGCAATTTGCTAAAGCTTGTGAATTTGAATCCTATGTTAAGTCAGCACAGATGTACTAAGGTTAGTACAGTCATCAGGAATCAAGGCCAGAAAAGGCCAGCTATCAGAGAAGTTTCTTGGGACTCTGTACCTATTACCGAAAGTTTGTGAAGCAACTGTAGCTTCTCCACTACATTATTTGACTGAAAAAGGCCAGAAGTTTGAATGGACAGTGTTTTCCAGCATTCTTTCAAGATATTGAAGGAAAAATTGGCCTCTGCTCCACTTTTAAAGCTTCCAGATCCCTCACTGCCATACATACTGGATTGTGATGCTAGTAATGTCGGAATTGGAGGAGTGTTGTCTCAGAAAGTGAGCGAAAACGAACATGTGGTGGTCTACTTCAGTAGGGTTTTGAGTAGACCAGAGAGGAACTACTGTGTAACATGGAGGGAACTCTTTGCTAAAGTAAAGAGTCTGACATATTTCTATCCTTACCTCTATGGTGCAAGGTTTACCATCAGGACAGACCATACTACGTTACGCTGGTTAAGATCATTAAAGAACCCAGAGGGACAACTGGCACGTTGGACTGGAAAGATAGGCCAGTATAATTATGATATTGAATACAGAGAGCGAAAATCTCATGGTAATGTCGATGTACTGAGTCGAAGACCCTGCAAAAATGACTGCAGATATTGCTGCAAAAGAGAGGTTGAACT